TGGTTTTACCTTATGCGATGCGTTTCTATAACTGCATATGATAGATACTAATGTAGAGCAGTGAATGATTCAAGTCTCTGTTTCGCTGATTCCAGCCCCATTCAACTAATCACCTCATTTAATTTTTTATGCATTCTTTTACCTAGGATTTTGTACAAACGTTCGAGAATTATGATGTTTTAATATTAGCATGAGAGGCAAAATCAATTGAAGAGGGCGGCTGAATTGCTGAAGAGATTCGAGTGCCAGAAAAACTGCGATAAACGTCATTTCTGTATGTATAAAACTTTCTGGATATCAGTTTTCCTCAACTCATTTACTTCGATTAGTGCCTTACTTTATCGCTACCACTTCGTTTGCACTTGCAATGGTAACGTATCGGAACCAAGTGAAATACTCAACCCTTCAGATGAAAACAAATGACGTACGTGTCAATCCATCAAAACAGCTGCATTACGGAATGAGTAATTTTTGTGCTTCTTAGAGTTGAACTTCAAGTTGAGCGTACTGAAGCGACTATCGATTGACAAAAAATATCAGCATTGCGGTTAACCGTTGTTTAAAATTGGAAATATCAAAACTCGAATTCAATCGTTTACATTCGCTAACAGCTCTGTTTGTGGTTCAGACGCGTGCTTGTGGATTCAGCTTCATTCGTTCTTCAAAACTGACAAAAGTAAACAATCAAACTGACTACATCAATCGGATCAACTGACTACACCAAAATTAGCATTTCCATTCACATGGATATCCCATCGCACTTCTCTACGATCGTTATATGCATGTGAAAACACAATGGTTCATTCCAAGATGGGATTTTAACACTATCTATTTGATCTTTCCACTTTTCATGGTAAATCAAGTGATTATAAGAACAAACTTATGCACGATTGTTCAAAATACCTTTATCGCTGGAATCGCTTGGTTTGCAAAATGAAAGCACCATCATACGTAACATGAACGATGTTCCTCTTCATCGAATTAGTTCTCTCTATCATGAAGGCAGAAAAATTGCTAGTTCAGCAGTGATTCATGTGCGATAGCGTTAAAATCCTAGAAGCAATATGTGAACATTTCAATGTGAAAAAATCATGTAATATTACATATTATGCCAGATTGTTGAAGCAACAAAGCAACATGTTAACGAAATTCGATTCAACTCGTCCTGTGTTTGCATTTCGTGTTTCATTAGAACGAAATCGATAACAAAACGACGGTTCGAACAATCAGTAGCCATAGAATAGCTCCACATATCAGATTCATACTGAAAATACATTACTGTTATTATAAGAATATTCAGAACTCTGCTTAATTGACTCGCATTTCAAATGACATTAATTCATCTTACACCTAACATCATCTGGAAAAGATTCGAAAAAAAAAACTGAACAAACTCCACTTCAGATAATGAACAGAGTTCGAATTATTATACAGCCAAGTTTTTGAAATCTATCTGACCTTTCAATAATACCTGTACATCTACTAGAAATGCTTCAGGATAACGCGATTATGCGCGAAATGAAATCATTCATCAAAACATTCTTCTCACACATTAATTTTGAATGCACATAAACGTATGTTCATATTTGACATGTAACTACCTTCGAAATTGTACCGTAAAAGTCGCATTACTCTATACAACATACTGGGCTTGGCTTCGTAAAGTTATCATTTTCTAAGGATTGTTGCGATACAAAGCAAACAAAACGAAATGAACGTGAATTGAATGCAATATCTGTTTCGTGGATATGTTTGTTTATTACGGTACAATCTCGAAAGTCTCTGCTCACCTTCCGTTTACTGAAGCATGTCATAAATCTATTGCTCTCTCACATACTTTACTCGCACTTCGCTTACAGAAGCTAGTTGATACACAATAAAATAGTGATAAGATGCACACAATAAACATTCAACATGGCACATATAATGTTTATGTCACGAACCTAAAATATATACATACACAAAAGTAGTGGTATTACTTTAAATAACTACGCATATTTCACATGTATATCTTGAATACATGTTCGGCTGATCTCGGTTGTTATGAGGAACTTTTTTTTTGAAAATCTTGCTCTTACCATCGCCTTTCCGACTAAAAACCTTTGGGTTGAAAAAAGCATACACAAAATTTCATCGAGAAAGAATGCTTATGAAAGGTGGTAAATCGAGCGGTTTATCGTCTGAAATGCTTCAGTGCGCAAATCTCAAATTTTGTCTAACCAACATCTCAAGATGGAATGAGCCCTCCAAACGATTCATCTCAAAAAGTTCTGTTTTGAATGCATACTGAACGTCGGTTTGCGCGAAAAGCCGGCGTAAATAGCTGGTGTGAACTAGGGTTTGCAAAATCCGGACGATTTTTCAACCCCGGAAT